ATTAAAGTTACTTATTAATGTGGATGTGGATATCACCTCTTTGCCATCATGGAGTTGCAGAGTGGGCCGTGAACTGTGTTTCTGTATGGATTCAGTTCTTCCACCCCCACTTTTTCTGTTATTGTTGGCTCGGGGGGTGGGGGGGAGGAATAATGGAGAGAACAGAATTAAATCAGGGTCTTTCATGTCTAAGTATACTGAAGACAGAAGAAGCGTATTGCCAAAAAAGAACGTAGAAGTTTTGGCACCTTATAAAACTATCTAGGATCTTGAAAAGCAAGAGTCAGCACAAGAGAGATTTGATTCTGGAAGGAAAAACCCAAAGACTTAAGTGTCCTCCAAAAAGGACTGTAATGTAGGTTGGTATCTTTTTAAGTAGTGCTCTATAGTTTTATATATTCTCTATTTTCATGTAATAATTGCTAAATTAATGCTAAATTTAGCTCTGGTTTTAGTTCAGTTTTTTAATTTCTAAAAGCAAAGCAAATTTTTAAAAAAGACTGGGCTAATCTGTTTCACAGTTAAGCCCACTTTTGGCTGTTCTGCCAAAGAGATTATACATAGTTCAGGCCCCACTGTTCATCTGGTGGGAGCTTGTCTCATTTCCAGGCAGGACCTCATAGTCTCTGAAGTGCAGGTCTTGCAGCATCCAAATGTCATAAAGCATCTACAGGTGTCACTGGTGATCTCCCTTTCTAAGTGAAGTAATTTGACACAAGGAATTATGGGTTGTTGTTTTTTTTAAAGATGACCAGTAAGGGTATCTTAACCCTTGACTTGGTGTTGTCAGCACCATGTTCTCCCAAGTGAACTAACCAGCCATCCCTTTATAGAGATCTGAACCCGTGGCCTTGGTGTTACCAACACCACACTCTCCCAAGTGAGCCACAGGCTGGACCGGAGTTATGGTTTTTTAAGTTTCATTTCTGACTTGCCATTCCTTCCCAGTCCAGGTTATGGGGTATTGAACATTACTGACCAATTTTACAAATCTAAAAACCACATATAAGTTCAAAAGCAAGACAATTTTAAACTTAAAAAAAAAATTCGGTCACCTTATATTGAGGGATTCCATTAACATGAAGCATGTCAGTGCTACTTGGGTCATTCTGTTCTCTGTACAGGAGAGTGAGCATCGCAAATGCTAGTAAATGAAAGAGCCAGGACGATGACACATTCTGTTTTTTTATTCAATCTCCTACACCACATTGTTGGCTTTTATAGATTTTCAAAATATTTTGTTCTAATGGAGAGATATAAAAGGAGATTTTTTTTTAATGCCAGAATACCTAATAACTTATTGTAAATATTACCATGTTATTATTTTACACTGTTTCACAGCAGAGACATTGGGATCAGATCTGGGTTCTAATCCCAGCCACCCACTTGTGAACTTTCCAAAAATAAAGTTACCCTTCTGAATCTCCATTTCCTCATTCGTTAACCAAGGCTAACACTGTGAAGATTAAATGAGATAGTTCCTATAAAGCCTGCAGCCCATGGCAAGGCATATAGCAATTAGTTACTAAATGGTAACCCATTTGAAACCAAAATTCTGAAATAGCTTTCTATGCAAGTCTGCTTTAAAGCCTCATAGAACTTATATATATTTTCGTGAGAGAGACAAATAAGATAAATAAAATATATGTGTACTAGTGATATGTACCAAAGAGAAAAAAGAAAGCAGGGAATGGGGATATAAAATATTGGAGAAAAGTTGAAATTGAATAGGGTAAACAGGTAAAAGACTTCAACAAGAAGGAGACTCTTAAGTAAACACGTGAAGAAAAAGGTGCTACCTGTGTGGATGTCTAAACGAAGAACTTTTGGGGTGGTAGGAACAGCAAGTGCAAAGGCCCTGCGGCCTGAGTGTGCGTGGTATGTACAAGGAGCAGCATGGAGGATGGTGTGGCAGGAGTAGAATAAAGGGGAGTAGAGTAGTAGGAAATACGGTCAGACAAAGAACAGTGGGCCAGCTGGGAGGTCCTGGAGGGGCTTGTAGGTCATAGTTAAGACTTGGTGGAGGTTTTGAGCAGAGCGGCAAAATGATCTTACATTTTGAAGGGATCTCTTTGGCTGCTGTGTTGGGAATGGACTGTTGGAAGGGGAAGAGTAGGGGAGGGTGATCAACAAGGGCAGAAGCCTGGAGAACAGTTAAGAGGCTAATGTAATAATCTAGGGCTTTACACTATCCATCTTAAGGGAGTAATGTGTTCTGCCACTGAGATGCAGGAAGTTTATTCCTGAGCCCCTGCTGTATTTGTAAACACTGGGAGGAATGGGAGTCACATCATTCAGAAAGTCATGCCATCCTAGTGTTTTATTTGTGTTTAGTAGATTGTGGTAGCATGTAACAATCACATTTGCATATAACTTTATCTGTGCTCTGCTTGTCTGGGAAATTTTCTTGTAGGAGAAGGGAACCCTTTATAAAATGGATTTTCTTTGTCAGTTGTCTTCCTGGAGCAGTCCCTGGTGATCGTCCCAGGGCAACCAAGGCCACAGGGAAGTGCTCTTTCATTGTGATAGTTATTGATTCTGACACTATCAGTCAACTCAAATAAAAGTAGGTTAGTGGGGCTGCTGAGCAGCATTGAGATGCTTACAAGTGACAGACGTCACACACGGAAAAGGGAGCCCTTGCTGGAGGGCAGCAGGGCTTCATAGTTCTCTATCATCCTGCAGCTTTACTTTTCTTTCTTTTAAACCTTTTTGGTTAAGATTTGCTTCTTATTGCCTTTAAAATTTATGCTGTATTTCCAGGTTGCCTGAAAAGCTATTTCTTTGTGTATATATCTGAAAATTGAAGTAACCTTTTAACTTACTAAATTGAGATTCAACCTCAGACATGTGGTCTTTACCAAAACCGCTGTGAAATTCTCAAATAAAATTAATTTTAATCATCGTGTGTGTGTGTGTCTGCACCTTAAGGTTAAAGAATGTGTATTATAAGTCAAACTTAACGAGAGTGTTTGTCACAACTACAAAAAGGCTGGAAATAATTGATTTACATTAGATGGATTAGCTGCTGCATTTGCTGCTGCTGGCTCAAAAATCCATTTGGTTGTTTTTCAAGAATCTGTGTGAGCCGTAACCATTTTCACCAGAATCAGATCAAATACAAATAGATATAGTGCAATTTAGTATGATAAGACACAAGTGACATATGCTCAGTTTATAGATTGAGTATATTTGTCAATTAATTACAAACGATATTTCATATTTTCCTTAAGTGGGAAAGAAACTAGATGGTCATTTTATATATTAAGAACATATAGTAAAAAATATATTGAGATATCTAACTATATGATTTATTTTATATTTTTATTCCACAATGCCTTTATCATTGTCTCCTTGCAATAAAAAAAAACAAAACAGGTACTTCATAACTTTGCTTTTCTAAAATCATGTCTATATGACTACCACCTTCATATCCATGATACTTAAACAGTTATAGACACTTCCACACTTATCATCTCATTAGGTCCTAAGAGGTACCTCTGTGAATGCAGAAGGCAGACAGGATAGCCCCATTTTACAGCAAAGGAAACATCAAGGTTTAGGAGCAGACTCGGGTTTTTGGATTCTTAGTCTAGGACTCTATATCCCCAACACCTGATTATTTTCATTAGCTCTGATGTAGTCTTTTTCAGATTTGTGGAGCTTTAGTAGTTGTAGAATAAATACAGATATTTTGCAGCAAGATAAATTCAGTAGCAAAAAAAAGTGACAGTGTTCCTTGTGTTCAAGATTTCTAACCAAGCATTTCCATATATTTCCTACCCATGTCCTGTTAGAAACTTGCATTAAATCCACAAAGGCATCAACATGCTTTTTAAAAGTAGGTAAATCCTCACAAACATAATGTTGGATGAAAGAGGTCACAAAAGAGAACAAATAGTATGATTCCCTTTATAGAAAGTTCAAATACAAGCAAAATGAAGCTGTGGTGTTAGCAGTTCAGATATTCAGTTATTACCCTTGTTTGGGGGTGTATGATGTAGGGGGAGAGTTTGAATTGGTCTGGGTGCTGGTTACACAGGTGTTCCTTTTGGGAAGATTTATTGACGTTTTATTCTTCAGTAAAATTATTTTTGCAAGCCTTTTTTTCATAAGTGGTAGTTCAGTTTAAGTGCTTTAGACTTGATGAGCAGTTCTTATAGATTTATTGTGTATTATAAACTGCCATTTTCCCACAAAAGTCAATTACCTTTTTGATTGTTGCTCCTAAGCATGTTACAATCATTTTGAATTCTTGGAGCTTCCCTTTCCCAGCACCAGCTGCTATGGAGCTGTGGTGAAGTCCATCATAAACTTTCATGCTTACACTTTTTAAAGTGTTTTGGGAAGAAAGGTATTGATTGAGGAAGGGCTCTTCAGATAGGATGTTAATCTGCATCAAAACAGAAACTGCTGGAAATGTCTTCATGGAATTCCGATAAGGCTCAGAGCAGAGCTTTAGTCAGCTCCTTATAATTTAACTATTTCACACCGATTTTTGCCTTTTAAATGGTTTCAGAAGAGCACAAATAGTTGAACAATAGCTCTATCATTTTTGAAATGTTCCTTGAGGTCAGAGCCTAAAGGAAATGAGATTGAGGCTAGAAGTTATTTTGAGCAAAACTAAATTTTAATAAAAATGGAAACTGACGGCTATAGCCATGATGTTTCTCCAGGCTTCTAACGTTAAACTAAATCCATAAGCTTTCTGACCACAGTAAATGTAGGGAAAAACAGGAAGAACTTAAAAGATTTTGTGGATCAGCAAAACCTTTTGCAGTCTTCACAGTTTACAGACTAAGGCCAGTGTGAATCACATATATTATGGGTCCTGCTCAAGATGAGCAGTTTTCTTACAAACGGTTGCTTCTGTTTCTAAAAGGGGACCCATTATTTTTGTCTTCCTTTAAATTGGTCTAATTTTCTTTTAATAAGGAATGTATTTTTAAATGTTTCTGCCAGCTATTTACACACTGTGGCTGCTGCTTTTTTCTCTGCAGTGTTCTCTTTCTTCGTCAGAAGAGGAAAGATTTATTTCCAGCAGGAGACCTAAAACGCCAACCTCAAGCGACTTCTCTGACCTTAATACTCAGACGAACTGGACCAAGTCACTTCCGCTGCCAACACCAGAAGAGAAGATGCGACAGCAAGCCCAAACAGTCCAGGCCGATGTGGTTCCTATTAATATAACTGGTACGCTCCCTGGGCAGACAGGTTCAGAATGTACTTGGGAGAAGGCTATGGCTTTTGTTTGTTATATGCTCTTAGCATTTCATTTGTACATCAAAGGTGAATAGCTGTGGTTGGGCTTCCTGCTTGTTGCTTAATGAAAGGAATACTAAAACTACATATGTGTGTGCCTGTAAAATATCTGTTGCTTGTTAGATCAGAAGACTATGTCACCAAATGTTGGTGTCAAAAAATTCAGTGGTCCAACCATTCATTTAAAGAGTGTCTTTTTTAAATTGAATTGCTTTTTAGTTAGGTTTTGGTCATATTGGAACATCTTTTAAATGTGGTCCTGGGTAAGAACAAAATTATACATTTCCCTCCTAAAGAGTTATTTTAAGTAATATTTATAGAAGTGAAGAAAGAATAATTTTGTGATGTTTCTGAATGATATTTTCTTACCTTCATGTTTTCTCAAGTAGAAAAGGGGAAAAATTACTTGAAATAAAAATAAAGTGAATTAATAGTAACTATAAAAATATCTTTTAAAAAAGTATTTTTATTAACCTTAATAGGGTGATAAAATTGTGTTTTGATTTTCATAATTTGAATTCCACACTCTTTAAATAAAAATCCATTTCTTCTGAATATGCAACTTTCGAAATATGTTACATTAAGGTGGAATATGAATATTGTCAAACCTGGAATTCAAGTTCTTATGGAATATTATACTCAGCCTTTAATCATTTGTGATAATCAAGATGACACATAATTAGGTACATAAAGCTCAAAGATGATCTTTCAGAAACTTAGAAGAGCTGTTGAAAAGATATCAAAATTTCCTTGCTTTATTATTTCTGTAGCCTGCAAAGAGGATGGGTCAGTAGTTTGGGGAGGGCACAAAGTAAAAAATAGACATTTTAAGAATTAATAGATTCAACCGTATATTCAATAGAAATAGATAACTATAGTGATTGTTGACAGTCCATATAACGCATGGCCCATAGGACCAGAACCTAAAAAAATCAGTTAACCGAAAAGCGTTAGTTTTCATAAACCATTAGGATGAAAACCCATAGACGCTTGCCATGCTTCTGAGGCTCTTGCTGTTGGAAAGCTTTTTGCTACGGCATTGGTGAGCTTGTAAGGGGCTAATAACATTTTGATAGTTTTCAAAAACCTTATAGGATGCTTAGAAATTACATATAAAACTCTTATTTTGAATTTCATGGAAATTTAATAAAGTACATCAATTTTTTTTTGTGGTGGTGGCTGGCCGGTGGTACAGGGATCTGAACCCTTGACCTTGATGTTATAACACTGTGCTCTAACCAACTGAGCTAACCAGCCAGCCCAGTTATTTTCAATTCAAGGTACAATTTCTCACATTTGTTTTACTTAAATGTTAAAGGAATAGCATGGCATTGTAATTTATTTTCTTTGCAAATAACATTGTTTGTCTTTCTGACTTTGCTTCCCATTTACTTAGATCATATTTTTTAAAGCTTATTGTTACAAGTAGCTATGTTTCAGAACAAAGTGTTTATTGCTCAATGAAATACATGGATGCATATTTTCTATAAGAAAATGAATGATGTTATTTGATTGATTAAACGCAGCAGAAATGTAATTATATTATATATGATTAAATGCCTAAGAAATAATATTATAAGATTAGAAAATTATGCTATGAAATATGACAATCATAATGGAATTAGGATGAGTGAATTATTTTGAGATTAGGAGATTTTTTTTTTTTTTTTTTTGTCTTTTTCGTGACCGGTAAGGGGATCGCACCCCTTGGTGTGGTGTCACCCACACCGCGCTCAGCCAGTGAGCGCACCGGCCATTCCCATATAGGATTCGAACCCGTGGTGGGAGCGTCGCTGCGCTCCCAGCGCCGCACTCTCCCAAGTGCGCCACGGGCTCAGCCCGAGATTAGGAGATTTAAAGTAGAGTAACTAGAGTTTCAGGAATAAGGAATTATTTGCAATGAATTACATTGTCACAGCAGAAGACAGTGTCATATCTTTGAGGTTTAATTCACTCCTGTTTGATGACTAAGTAGATATAAATTACATGGAGTTTAAAAGAAAGTCTTTAAAATGCCACACATGAAAGGTGAATGACAGCAAAGAAATGAGCAATATGAGTTATGTCAAAATGCAGTTTACTTTTAATTGAGTGATTAGCATTTTGCAGAAATGTCAAAATTAAATATAATACCTAGTTATATATTTATTGATCCATTTTATGGGTCTGTGTTTTTAAATACACACACATATTTCTTCAAGGATTTGTTTTTCTAATCTGGTGTAAAGAAGCAATAAATTAAAAATTTTCACTTTTGGTGGTTGGCATAGTTTATACAGCTTCCTACTCTTTAAATTATGTATTTCTAAAGTCCTAGAAGACTTTTGAGATAAAAAGTTAGCTTCCTGTATGGAATTGTCATGTGCTTGTCGACTAAGGTGAGCATTGACCCTCTAGTTTGATTTTCAGTAAGGCTCAACAGGAAAAAAATGCCAATAAATATATTCTTCCAAATCCAGAGCAAAGCCCACCAGACATAGAGGTAGAGCATTAGGACAATGAGCTGCTGCCTTGGAAATTGATTTAATCCTTATAATCCTGTAGGGACTTGGCATGTTCTAAGAGTAGAGAAAAAAAAGAAATGTTTAAAATAAAATGTGCAAATAAGTATGTTCTGTAATCTGCCGTGTGGGATAACAACTCTTCCACCTGGAAGATAAGTATAGTGAGTAAACATACTTAATTTTTGCAAACTGCCTTTTACTATTGATATTCAAGCTACCTAAGTTTATTTCTAAAAAGTGACCATGACTACCTAATGCCATTTTTCAATGAAAAGGAGTGGTTAAATTCAGCAAGTGTTTATTGAATAACTGTTTTGTAGCAGGCATTACCTGGGTGGCACAGGGGAAGCTAAGATGAATGAATCATGGTCCCTACCCTCAAAATATGTATAGTCCGGCAGAGGAGACAGTCTTTTTTGGTCACCATGCAAGATGGAGAGTTTGGTGCCTTTAATGGTGTATGTTTTAGATGTTCATCCTCATGGGGTTTGTTTCTTAATATCCTTGGAGCTTGGGTGGCTTTATCTTTTATTTTTGTCTAGGAAGCAAAACTAGAGATTAAATGCAACTTTCTATTAATGTTTTGTCCATTCTTAATGTCTTCATACAAGGAAGTTTTTCTGTCTGCTGCAGGGGACTAATGAGCCACCAAAATCATGACTTGCATTTTGTAAGCACCATTTACGTGGTTGCACATAGTGACCTGATTTTCACAGTAATGATACCTTCTGGTATTTCAGGGTCTTTTCTCACTAATCTCCATTGGCAACAAAATTGCAAGCATTTGCAGGTTTGCAAGCTTTTTTTTAGTTTGTTCTTCAGTAGATGAAATGTGTTTTGATCATTCAGCTCTTTTATCCTCTGTTTTGATTAAATAAGTTTTACAGTTTATTCCGATTAAAATAGAAGTTACGTTGTCCTCAACGTACCCACTTTGAATGTGTGTCAGTATTGCTAAAAAGAATGAATGTTTTAATACTTATCTTGTACATACATAAAATGACAGAAGTATGTAATTTGTGTGCATGTATGTATTTTTGAAATCTATTTTTGAGGAGAGTAACCATTCAAAAAGTCAATGCTCTAATTAAACTGCCAAGTAATTTATAACAGACCAGTCAATAACTGATACTGTTATAAGCTTTATTATTTTATGGTTTCCCATGGTGTGTTAATCACACAAGCTTACGCTGTAGAAAGAAAAAAGTCCTGTGGATGTGGCATTCCGGGTTCAATTGTAACCTCACCTGAAATGTCAGAATTAAGATCATCTTTAAAAAGTGATTATGGAACAGAAAGAAGCAGTTCAGCTTTAACAACAGCAGTGCTACTGGGTCTCATTGTGATGAAAGTACTTTATCATTACAAGGCTTTTCATTTTTCTCAACAGTTATATTTTACACCATAACAATGACCACAGTCTATCCAAATTGTCAGCCGCCTAGACTGAAGAAAGAGCTCTTCTTCCAAGAACTCTTGACTAAGTTATTTGCACACAAAAGAAGATATTACACTGGTCTCTATGGGATGACCAGATGAATAAAGTATACATATTGCTACTACCATATACATGCTGATGTAAAGAGTGATTTTAGTGATGGAGGACCTATGTGAAACCCTTCCAAAGTTATTCAAGTTATTTTTTAAGTAACACAAAATCATTCTTCCAGTGTGTTATTAACAAATTCGCATTTGCTACTACTCCAGCTCATTTGAAAATGAGATCAAGGTGCTTCCTTTGGAAGGACACACGCAGAAATTGGAAAACAGCCTTATGATGATAATGTGCCTTCCTTCCCTTTTTGCCCTTCAGCATTCATCATCATTTGACTGGCTAACATCATTATTAATACCTTCTTATCATTTTACAACAAGCTTCTGGAAGAAAGTGCATGGTGTCAGCTTGCTTGGAAATAACATTGCTTTGCTTGTTCTACTACTCTACATTAGGGGAGAATTTTGATCGCCAGGCCAGCCTTCGGCGGTCTCTAATTTACACAGACACTCTGGTAAGACGACCGAAGAAAGTCAAAAGGAGAAAGACTATTACAGGAGTCCCTGACAACATACACAAGGAGCTAGGTATGGCTCATCAGAACTGTATTCTGTTGCCCCTCCTTGCTGCCCGCCATTACTACGCTAACCTCATTAGTGGTGCTTATAAAATCAATACATTCTGATAGCCGTTTAGTGCCCCAAAGGGCCAGCTTCTTTCCTGAATGAGGCATTAGGTGCAAACCTTAATATCCCATGCAGACAGTTTACTGGATTTTGGGGAGAAGATGGGGGGTGGGGTGGGGGAAAATCTTATATGAAAGCTATTAACTGAGATGATAGAAATGGACAGTTATGTCATCATTTCTAGGTACCTCAAACACTGATTATTTCCACAATTAAATCTACTTTTCATTTAGAGCTTAAGTTTTCCTGAAACTAAAAACTCATTCTAGGACTTCAGATTATAAATATGAACTTCACTAGTTATACTGACAATACTGGTGGCATTTTGTCATCAGAAACATCAGTCTGGGGGGCCGGCCCGGTGGCGCACTGGATAGTGCGCCGCTTGGGAAGCGCGGCGGCGCTCCCGTTCGAGGGTTCGGATCCCATGTACAGACCGGTTCCCGCGCACTGGCTGAGCGAGGCGCGGGAGCAGCGCCCAGGCGTGCGATCCCGTTGCCGGTCCCCGGTCCGGTACGGGGGCAACACTGAGGGTTGCGATCCGTTGCCGGACACGGAAAAAAGACAAAAAGACAAAAAAAAAAAAAGAAACATCAGTCTGGGGGGCCGGCCCGGTGGCGCACTGGATAGTGCGCCGCTTGGGAAGCGCGGCGGCGCTCCCGTTCGAGGGTTCGGATCCCATGTACAGACCGGTTCCCGCGCACTGGCTGAGCGAGGCGCGGGAGCAGCGCCCAGGCGTGCGATCCCGTTGCCGGTCCCCGGTCCGGTACGGGGGCAACACTGAGGGTTGCGATCCGTTGCCGGACACGGAAAAAAGACAAAAAGACAAAAAAAAAAAAAGAAAAAAAAAGAAACATCAGTCTGGGATTATTGGTAAAGGTCACTACAATAGAAAATAATCATTTATGTTGGCTAATGCCTTTATTACTTTCAATGAAACAATTTCATAGCTTTTTTATTCAATATTTTTCAACCTGTGATAAAAACAGAAAACAATTTTTTGACGGGTGCAGAGGGTTGTCTAGTTCATAACTCACTTATCCATTTTCTTTCTGCTTATCTTTCTTTCTGCTCTGGATAATCCTTTCATTCTCCTCTTTCTCTATGAACTTCCTTTCCCTGTTTTATGGTGGGGCCCAGCAGTAATGTCTGCTGAGGCACATGGCAGAGTCCCTGGGTTAGGAGCAGGACGCAGTGCCAGGCTGCTTGGGTTGGAATCTTCATCCTGCCACTCACACTCTGGGTGACCTTGGGCAGGGTGCTTCACCTCTCTGAGTCTGCTTCCTCGTGGTGATGTTCATAGACCCTGCCTCTCAGGGTCGTTTGAGGACTAAATGAATTTATACACGTGACACCGTTAGTACCTGGTACTACCGTGAACATAATAGCTGCTGTTGTCGTTATTATAGGGAACTTAATACTAACAATCGTGAAATTTGCTTCTTCAGCCAATCTTTGGACTTATTTCCTGTTAGGTACTTTCACCTGAAGTTTGTGTTTACTATCCAAGGTTACACTCTAGAAACTCGAGTCATTTCTGAAATTGCCTATTAGTATTTTAGTCAAAATGAGTTTGTTCTAGCAATAGTGATGTATCTGTTATAGCACCTTGAGGTAGCATTTCAGCTTCTGGGTGCTACAGATATTGTGCTGTGTATTTTTTCCCCCACCCTCCTGCTTACATCCCTTGTTTTCCAGAGGGCAGGTTCACTCTCCTTTACCTGGCATTTTCTCTTTTACTGCCACCCAATTCTACAGTATAAATGCTCTGCCTTCTGGACTGTAGCAACAGGTATAGCAATTCTCTGGGTGGCTTCAGTGATCCAGATGGTCGCATTGTTCCATAACGGAGGGGTTTATTAGAAAAAAAGCAAGAGTGCAACTGCTTCCATGGGATTTGCGAAGTCCGTCTTTGGCTCATGCCCACGTGCTGCTGCTTTTAGCCAGCCTTCCTGTGGCTGCTGAGGCCTCCAGGCACCTTCCCTAAATCCACACCTTCCTGACACGTGGGCTTTCTCCCTCTCCTCAAAACATAGCTGTATCTTATTCTTTCAGACTCTTTTTTTTTTCCCCTTCTTGAGGTGACAGATAATTAATTTGAGAAACTCATCTCTACTCATACGTTCAGTAGATTTTTTTTTTTGTCCTTTTTGAGACCGGCCGCACCGCGCTCAGCCAGTGAGCGCTGTGAGCACACCGGTCATCCCTATATAGGATCCGAACCCGCGGCGGGAGCACTGCTGCGCTCCCAGCGCCGCACTCTCCCGAGTGCACCACGGGCTTGGCCCTCAGTAGATGTTTAATGGGCTAATTTCTTATAGCACTCGGGTAAGATTTATACTTTATCTGGTCTTTTCAGGAGATATGCCTTAAAGACAGGCCTCTTGTAAGGTTGATGTTTAGAGGTGAGCTACATTTTAAGTGGCTTTCTAACAAAAATAGGTAGGTTGTGGATGACTTTGTGCAAAAAGTATAAGGATAGTTTGACCCATATAAAGATACATGTACACATAAGTATTCAATGTGAATTGTCTATATACATATGTAATATGAAATCTAGAACCTAAGAATTATGAATTTTTATCTCTTTTATTACTGAACCAACCAGTATGAAGCCAATAACTCAGTTGCTTCTTTGATTTTACTGGAATGATCTGGCCAGATAGGTAAATCATGTCTTCTATAATTTTAATATTTTTTAAATTAATAACTGAGTCCCTGGAACCCACATTCGTTTCTCTTTTGCATGTGACATGGAACTACCACTGACACTGGAGGAAAGAAAATAGCCTTCCCCACATCATCTGTGCTGTGACTGTTGCCAGACATGAGACAGTTGATGTCATTGCACAATTGATGACATGACCTGGATCACAGCTAGAAGTCAACTGAGACAACTGTATCTAAGTTAGAGCTAGTTAAAAAAAAAAAAAAAAAAAAACAATTAGACAACACTCTAGTTTTATAGATAAGCTAGTTGGAGGATTTTGGGGCAGATGAGGGGAATTAACATTTGAATACAGTTTTACTTAGCAAAAAAATTGGATCATGTATTTGCTTCATTCTTTCAAGACTTCTGGTTGACCTTGCTTTTTTCCTCAATATTTTGTACTTCTAAGGACTCTGGTGTGGAAGTCTTGCACTACCTAACTAATGATTATCAAAAATAGGCCCTTCATATTTTCTTTAAAATTAGTCTTCTTCTAGTTATAAAACACAGGGAAGTATGGCTGAGTCAAGCAAATAGACAAAAAAGGAGGTGATTCTCTGAAGGAAAGGCATTTACTAGCAAAGATGCACCCTGTCCACTAGGTGCTGCCCAAGTTGCCAAGAACTGTGGATTTAAAAAAGTTTACCATACAGAAGTGCTTTCATGAATTAGAAACTTAACGTTATGCTTTATCATGTGCAGTTTTTACTTAAAAATCTGTAACTAATGGACTGTGGAGACTAGCCAACAGAGAACACTTTAAAATTGAGGTGTGATATTTAATGTTCATAACCAGAGCATATCTAAGGACTTATTATAATTTGTTGCCTTCCATTTAAGTGAATTGGACAACATTTCAAGTTTTTTCTTTAAACTTAAAACTACACATAAGTGTATATGTACATCATGTTATAAAGTTTCATTTTTTAGGATCAAGTAGGATTATTTTGGTGGTATATAGTTATATTTAGCCATTGAATTTATCCCCGTATATTCTGTCTAAGCAGAAAAATCCTCATTTAAAGGAATCCCTTTATGGACAATTTTTGATAGTTTGTACTAAGAGCATTACTAAAAATCTGACAACTCTTTTTTAAAAAGTCATATACTGAACCTTAACTTGTAGATTTTTCTCATCCTTAATTATATGTATTTTTTAGAAATTAAGAAATCCCTTGTATTAAGCAAAAGAAAAATTGTAATTCTTTTTTACATTATGTTTTAAAATCAGATAAATCCCATTAAGATTTTGTGCAGCACCTGAGTAGTCTACATGTGTTCGTAGTTCTCTTTTTGTAGTTTCTTTTGTTCTTTAATCAATATAGCGTTCACCTGTGTCCTGTAATATTGTGAAATTTTTATACTGTGAAAATGTTGGAGGATCTGTGTTGGGAATAGAATTTTGGTGGTCCCTTTAATAAATTATATATTAATTTCTTAAATCTTTGTTAAGGTTCTTAAGAAAACATCTTAATAAGAAAGTTCCACTCAGCTGTAGATGGTGAAGAAATGGTTATATATCTATTTTCAGAAGGCCACAATGGTTTTACATGCAAAATTGTTACCCAAAAGTATTGGGATTTATTTATAGCACTTAAAGGCAATTAAAAGTCGACCACTAACCCCGTGCAAAAACTACTGCAATTTTGAAAGAGGAAGATATCAATAGCCGTTGTTGAATGGCATGAGGTATCTTGAATGTCTGGAACTGAACCAGTACAATCTGATAAACCAATGTAAGGCAACCTCCCATCTTCTAAGCTACCAAATAGCACGAACTTACACTTTTTGTTTTTCTTTCCTCAATGTGGATTTTTCTTCTGCTCCTGCCCTTTTGCCCACTTCCCCTCGTTCTAAGGGACAGCCTCGTGTGTGGGGTGTGTGTGTGTGTGTGTGTGTGTGTGTGTGTGTCCACATGCACGTGTGTCTTCAGTGATTGGGTACATGGCAGAGGGTGGAGAGAGGAAATAGACCCTCATTGCTAAAGATACAAGTATGAAAAATGATTCTCCATTGTCACAGTGAAGGGCTTTATGCTGGGGAGCCTTCCTTGCAAGGTGGCATTTCCTTTGGGGTTGATGCAAGCACATTGCTGCCACTTTAGTAAGATCCTTTGCTATGCAGATATGCAAAAGGCTTTGTATATCCACTCAGGGACATATGCCCCACATGGTTAGTTATGTGGGGGTAGAGGGAACTTTTAGGAATCCCATCACTATTGTTGTCCTTGTGCAGGTGTCCAGGGATGCAGATGGGTGCTGTACCAGCATCACTGCGCAAAGCCCAGGCTTGAGATACTTTCAGGTCCTTGTTGGATAAAAACAACATAGCAAGAACTATGGTTTTGCTGTTTTTAAAGATTTGTCCTAAGGATTGACTGTTTATTCCTCAGTTACACTTTGATAAGTTCTTGGCTTCATTATTTTTTTTCTTTTCTTTTTAAAGCTCTGTAAGAACAGAGCTTTCCTGGGTAGCTTGCAATCTGTTTATCTATACTGAAGTGTTTTTCTTGTTCACTTCCCTCTCTGTCTGCCCTTCCTCATGTTTCTTTCTTTCATTTTTTTTTTACATACTATTCTTTATTTGGTTGTAAAACTTTAAGAAATGAATAAACCTAATCTGAGGAAATGTTCATTGGATCAGTTCCTGCTTTTCTCCACCAGAACACAACAGATTGCTGTTACATTTTGAATGTCACCAACAGACAGATGATAATGGCTTCAGATGGATAATGAAATGTTTGAAACACAGATGGGCCTGTAAATCAATTTTCTCTTTCTTAGGATTTCCTTCTAACATAAACAATTCATGTAATTAACACTATTTTATACCAGTATCCTCATAAGTGGTATCTCTGTGGCCTTGTTGTTCAACTACTACATTAATCTGTCTTAGGGAAAGACGGTCACTGCTTGATAGATGTTCTCTGCAGTCCCCTGGTGGAGGAAAGGCCACCTTTATTTATTTATTTATTTATTTTTAAAAGATGACCGGTAAGGGGATCTTAATCCTTGACTTTGTGTTGTCAGCACCACACTCACCCAGTGAGCTAACCGGCCATCCCTATATGGGATCTGAACCTGGGGCCTTGGTGTTATCAGCACCACACTCACCCGAGTGAGCCATGGGCCGGCCCGGAAAGGCCACCTTTAAGTCTTTACTGAAAGGTGGTTATTTGAAAAGTAAATCCTCCCAGAGCACTCAGCAGCCTTGATTTCAAAGGGAGTACCTGAGAATTCCATATGTGGCACTCAAGCTATAGGAGGATCTGAAGTACAAATTAGAAATGTACAGGAAATGCATAATAAGGATTTTTATCTTGGGAGCTATCAGTAACTTTAAATTCACTTAGGTACCTTACAGGAGAAAAGAAACTAAATGAAATAGATAAGTTTTCTTTTCCTGTCTTTTAAATTACAACAGAGTCAGAAGGAAGTGAGGGTACAGGTGATGAACAATGGATTTTTATTTTCAGGTAACAGCCTCTTTCTGCTTTATCTCCAGCATCAGGCACTGGCCAGGATGATGGTGGTGGCCACACAGTGTACAGCCCAGACCACTACTCTACACTGGGACGCCTTGGTAGCTGTCGGGCTGCAGGGCAGCGCTCAGAAACCAGGGACTCCAGCTGTCAGACTGAGGATGTGAAGGTTGTACCACCTTCAATGAGAAGAATCAGGGCACAGAAGGGGCAAGGCATTGCTGCCCAGATGGGCCACTTCTCAGGCTCCTCTGGTAACATGTCTGTGCTGAGCGATTCCGCGGGGGTTGTGTTCCCCTCTCGCCTCAACAATGATGCTGGTTTCCATAGTCTTCCGCGTTCTGGAGTGAGGGCAAACATTCAGTCCCTTGAGCCAAGGCTGGGTGCCCTGGGCCCTGCAGAAGACATGGATGGCACTTTCCACTACCAGAGGAGTAACTCACAAGTAGATGAAAACCTAGGATGTTTAGGAGGGGCCTCCAGGACTGCAACACTTTTGAGGCCCAAATCCCAGGAGCTGCAGCACTTTGAGAGTGAAAATGTAACAAGCCCAGCATGTGTGGTTTCTCCTCATGCAACATACTCCACCAGCATCATCCCAAATGCCACCCTCTCATCCTCTTCAGAGGTTATTGTTATTCACCCTGCTCAGAGTTCAGGGCAGCTGGATGGTAAAATTACCAGCTCATCCTCATACACAAAGGTAAAATCCAGAGACCGCCTCATCTCCAGGCATGCTGTGAAAGACGATCATCAGCCTCCCAGTGGTCACTGGAATGAGGGCCATCCCACTATACCTTCACAGGCCCTAGGCACCCATTCCCCCAGTGCCCCAGCAAATTGGGAAAATGAGCCCCAAGCCATGCCCTATAATTGCAGAAACAACCTGAGCTTCCCATCCCATCCCCAGGATGTGGATGGCAAGAGCGAGTCTAGTTATTCAGGGGGCAGAGGGCACGGCAGCTCGGAGCCCTGGGAATACAAGGCCTCAGGTAATGGGCGGGAATCCCCACTGAAGTCACACTTGGCAACTCAGGGTTACTCCACTCCTGCAAGTAACATGAGCAGCTGCAGTCTGGACCAAACATCCAACAAAGAGGATGCTGGGTCCCTGTATTCAGAGGACCACAATGGCTACTACACATCTATGCACACTGACTCTGGACATGGATCTGGGAATCTGTGCAATAGCCGCGATGGCTTTGGGAACCCCAGGCACAGCGTGGTCAATGTTTTTGATGGAAGAGCTCAGAAAAACCAAGGGGACCGATCAAGTTACCCTGATAAATCCCTTTCCAGAAACATCTCTTTGAAGAAAGCAAAGAAGCCTCCCCTGCCACCCTCGCGGACAGACTCTCTCCGCAGGATTCCCAAGCAGAGCAGCCAGTCGAATGGGCAGGTGCTCAATGAAAGCCTGATCGCCACGCTCCAGCACTCGCTGCAGCTGAGCCTCCCAGGCAAGGGCGGCAGCTCGCCCTCCCAGAGCCCCTGCAGTGACTGTGAAGAGCCCTGGCTGCCGCGTTCCCGGAGCCAGAGCACGGTCAGTGCCGGCAGCAGTATGACATCCGCCATCACCCCCAACGTCTACCCCCTGTGCGGGGTCACGCCCTCGCAGAGCGACACGAGCAGCGTCAAGTCGGAGTACACGGACCCTTGGGGCTACTACATCGACTACACGGGCGTGCAGGAGGACCCGGGCAACCCGGGAGGGGTCCTCCCGGCCAGCAGTGGGGCGCCGACCAGAAACGGGCCGGGCCACCATGCCCCAGAGGGCTCGAGGGCCGCGATGCCCCACGTGCCCGGTGGTTCAGTCAAACCAAAGATGACATCGCCGGAGAAGTCACACAGAGTCACTTCTCCATCCAGTGGGTACTCCAGCCAGTCCAATACACCCACAGCGCTCACCCCTGTGCCTGTGTTTTTAAAATCCATGTCACCAGCAAATGGGAAGGGAAAGCCCAAGCCCAAGGTGCCAGAAAGGAAGTCCTCTCTGATGTCTTCAGTGTCCGTTTCCTCGTCGTCCACTTCTCTTTCCTCCAGTGCTTCCACTGAAGGAAGTGGCACTGTGAAGAAGCCCGCCTCGGCCACGGCCTCTCCGCCGGCGGCTGCTGCTCCTGTCCCTTCTCTTCCCTCGCCACCTGCTGCCGACAGGTCCCCTGCCCTCCCTCCGCCCCCTCCTCTAGCAGGTGGCTCGCCCCTGCCGCGCTCTCCCGTTTTCCCGCCTCCACCACCAGAAGCCCTCGCTCCCTTCTGCTCCGCCACTGCCACCGCCACCGCCGGGTGCCTTCCTCATGCCCCTGCAGCCCTCAGCCCCCTTCTTCCAGATTCTTCTGCTGCCTTGCCGCCGCCCCCACCTTTCTTACCCACCTCGCTGCCCCCGCCTGCCCCGCCGCTTGACCCCAGTCTCGTGAAGGACACTAGGCCTTCTTTCAAAACCTCTGGCCAGCCAGCGCCCTCCCGGGAGGCCTGCAAGCCTCCTGCTAACAAGGAGGAGGGCAGCAGGCCCCCCATGCCCCTGATAACCACGGAGGCGCTGCAGACGGTGCAGCTGAGGCCGGTGCGCAAGAACTCGGCCACCGAGGTAGCTCTGTCGTCTGCACCAGCAGCTCAGGAAACACCAGCTCCGGGTGCTCCACGATACCACTTGAAGCCATCTGCTCTCCTCAAATCCCCAAATAGCATCAATGAAATGGAGAGTGGAAGCCAGCCCGCTGCCGTGACAAGCTCGCTTCCGACGCCTGCCAAGAGCCAGAGTCAGGGTGACCATGGCAGTGCAGCCGAGCATGGCAGCCCTCCGAGCTGCAGCCGCGGAGCTCCGGGGCCCGGCGCTGGAATCGCCCCACTCCCGGACTCTTCACCCAGCAGGAAACCGCCCCCAGTTTCCAAGAAGCCCAAACTGTTCCTAGTGGTGCCACCTCCGCAGAGAGATTACTCCGCAGAGAACGTGAGCGAAGCCTTCCTAGGAGTGCCCAGCCCAGCGAGGGGAGAGGAGGGCTGTGTGCACAGCAAAGAGGCACGAGAGAGTCCTGCAGCCCGAGCTGGTTTTCACGCGGTGCACCCCGGCAGCTCAGGTTTTGAGGGAGGAGCTGCAGGATCCTTGTCTCCCAGCAGAGTGGAAGCCAATGTCCCCATGGTACAGCCCAATGCTTCTCCAGCCCCCACGCAGGAAGAGCCAGCAGAGCACAGTACGGCTGGTGGGGACAACGTGGAGAGCTGCTTGTGTCAACAGGATGGAGGAGGTAAGTCTGGCTTTTCTCCTGTGCCCCTCTGGCCATCTGCAGCAGAGCCAAGTAGGGCTGTTGGGTGCTCACACGTGGAACTCAGGTAAATGGCATCAGATTCATGTGAAAGCCAGAAGCATATGGGCTTCCAATGCCGCTGCACACATTAGTTACCAACTTTGCATTTTATGAATGTTTTTTTAAATGTGTAGACCTAAAGGAATGGCAGAAAATCGGAGGATGGGGGTGATCTGCAGCAGCCTGGGTATTAAAAAGCAGTAATCTCCCTCTGCAGAGTGGCAAAGAAATGTTCCAACAAAATTTCAGAGCGACTCATTGCGAGTTCTATCCTTTTACAGAAAAGAATGAGCTCTGGCTGTCCTGCCAGTGTCATTTTCTCCCATCGTTGTAAACTATAAAACTACAGCCCCCCCTGCCTCTGCTGTGGTTCTCACATTGTCAGGAATGGCAGGGAAGCAGCGTACTTAGCAGCTTGGCTGAGGACTGAAGTTCTAGTCATTTGTGCGTCTTATGTCGCCTGCTTGCTTGCTCCTTTATAGCTGGGGCGCTGGAGACCAGCACGGCCAGTTCTTCCTCAGAGGCCTGCGACTTCCTTAAGGAAGAAGGGAGTGATGAGGTGATGGCCCCCAGTAGACCCAGGACCACTGAAGACCTTTTTGCAGCTATTCACAGGTATCCAAAACTCCTTCCTCTTAATTTTATAATTCCTTCTTTCCAAACATTTCCTTGATTTATTTATCTTTTCTTGAGGTTTCTTCTGTCACCTAATCATGACTCATTAACTTTATTATTGATTGTGTGTGTGTGTGTGTGTGTGTTTCTATACTTTTATTTCCTCTAACTCCAGTTTCTATTTTACTCTGTTCTGCTGATTTTTTTGGTGACGTAGGGGACAGAGACTCAGTGTAATACCTTCTGGTAGGCATTGCTCTTGCTAGCAGGAAATGCAGTGTGTCATTCATATGACAGAGTATTAACAAGAGTTAGATCAAAGCAGCCAGCAGTCCAGAATGCTGTGTTCTATGGGGTTAAAATGCACAGACTAGCCCTACAGGATTTTCTTCCTAAGGGTGTTATAGTTTTATTTTTTATTTTTATTTTTTTTTATATTACAGAAAAAACAGAATTTTCTTTAGCTGCTTAAATGTTTCGATAAAACAACACATCACTCTTTAAGTAGGAGCAAAAGGAATTAAATTTGCGTGTTACTGTATACCAGTAGTGCCATCTACTGGCATCAGAAATTGTTAGGTTTAAAAAAAAAAAATGTAGGGCAAATTTTTCAGAATAACTGCCTGAACTGTTACACTGTTTATATGTGATCAACTTTAAGAATGAATATGATTTGGGACTAAAGTTTTATTTATTACATCATTTTTCTGATTGTAAAATTATATCTGTGCCAGTACTTTAAACCTTAATGCTATATAAAACCTTTTGCCTTCCTCCAGACTTCTTTAGCACAGTATTTTCAGATAACTCTTAATGTCCTCATGCTACCAAGGCCTTATATTGCCTGAATTAAGGCCTTTTTTCTCCCCTCTTGAAATACAACATCCTTAAGTTATTTGATTTTTTGTGTGAATGAATGACCATGTGTCAGCACTGTTTCCCCTACTCTTGGAATCTAACTGAAAAGACTATTACATGAGATGAAAAGTGCAGTGTTGTCCCTACCTGGAACGTCTCATGCAGTACATAAATATCTAAGTTGGGGTGGCTGTGAGGGGAAACCATTGGTAAATTATGATGTTTGTCAAGAATTACGTTCTTTATTTTTCAGCTCTGGACTGCCCCCTTTCACACTAACTAGTTTCTTTGATCTTATTAGAAATAAAAGAGTAGCTAGTTATCCAATTATTTCTCAAAACAGGGAAATAAATTGTGTCCTTTGAAACCAACTTCAGTGGCATTTCTAAAAGTTTACACAGATGTTTCTAACTTTAACCATGCTAGACACATAATAAGTACTCAATAAATATTTTCTGAATTAAATGAAACCAATTGGAATTTAACTGTTAGAAAATTCTTCCAAGTTTCAGTCTTTCATTTAGTGTGGAATGCATTGGGTTGCTAAATATACAGACATGTATATTTATAATAGCAATCCACAAAGAAGATTTGTGTTGCCTGATTGCTCTATGTCCTAGATACTTGGTCTCAGGCAGGAAACCCAACTGTTGTGGGGCCAAATTACTGCATACTTTTCCTAAAAATACACCAAAGGTCTTTTCTATATTTTATTTTGGCAACCTTCTTAAGGCACTGAAAAATTCGTGGTTTCTCCGACCAGAGATTTATATCTACTGCAGATGTAGAAACTGGTCAGTCTGTATCATTCTGTGTATGGACAAGAGAAGTAAAGGCCAGATGGGCCTTAGGAGTGGAGTTCAAAGAGAAACAAGGACTCATGCTAATTCCTGTTGTATCTTTGATATATATTAACAGACAATAAACATCCATCTAAATTCTTTGGTTTTTAGGCCTTTATTTTCATATCCTTCAGCATCTAAGCTCATAATTTAAAATAAAGAATATCTAAATTGAAACACAGCTTTCCAATTTTATAATGCAAATTAGTTCACTTCAAATTTAAAGCCAGATGGAAAATGTAGAACACCAGTTGAGGTGTGAAGTTTCTGTATTTATTGAAATAATTAGTTTTTAAGCCACAGTGTTAACTGTTTAAGTGCCTTTTATAGCCATCTTCTTTAACAGTTAAAGGCCGTAGCTTTAATCAAGTTTAGTGTAGTTTTTTTTTGATGGATCTCAGCACACCCTCACCATTTAAAAACCAAACAAAAAGTTACACCACCAGCCAATACCTGTAGGAATTGATGAGCACAGCTGCTTTGGGGGAGCAACTTGGTCTGAGGTGTTCTGTAAGTGGGAGGATACTCCTTCCAGCCCTAGTTGTGCTAACAAGCTGTGTGACTTCGCTCTCCAGACCTCAGTTACCTTCTCTAAAACCTGAAGCGGTTGGACTAGACAATTTCTGAAGTCTTTTCCAGCTCTGCACCTCGGAGATGTACTATTTCTGTGGTTCGATCAGTTGGTCACTAACTTCTTTCAGGGCACTGCTCCTGCTGACCACTGAGCAGGACCATTGAACCCAAGTGTCATTGGCCAAATTCTACAGTTGCAAAGTGGCTGGTGCCCCATCAGCTCTGGCCACCCTTCAGACCCTGTATTGGGTCCTTACCACTTCTTGTCCTCCGCTTTGGTGGCTTCTCTTTCACAAGAAGCATGGAGATGTCCTTGGGGGAACCATGCCCAGGGCAGCCAACATGGGCCCATCCTCTCCTCTGCTTTGCTGTATAAGCCACATAAAAACTAAAGCCTGACCTGGTGGAGGGAAGGAAGAATTCTGTTTCTCACTATGACATTCAGGGTTTGTTAGGTACCTACTCTGCGCCTGACACTTTAAGGCTTTGTTGTTTATTACTTAAGGCTTTATTTTATGCATTCGTCTTTACTGACAAACTATAAGTGTACACTGTTATTCCCCTTTGCAGATAGGAAACACCATCAGAAATTTTAACTCTCCCAAGGGCACAGAACAAGGAAGCTTTAGCAGTGGGATTTAGCCCAGGTTTGTGTGACTACAGAGGTTCTTTATCTCATTTGATCCTCACAGACCTTTGAGGTTGGTATTATCATGCCCATTTACAAGTATGGAAACTGAGGCTCAGCATGGATGGGTACTTGTCCCAGCTAGAAGTAGGTAGTGCTCGGATTCGACTTTTATTCTGTAGGTACAGATAGCATACTCGCAACCTTTTCCTGCTGCGTATTCTAGAATTTTATATTAGGAAAAGAGATACACCCACCTGTTTATTTTATTAACTGTATGGAAGTTCCTTAAAGCAAGTCCACCTGTGCTTAGCTGAGAGAGACACACATGCTGAGTTGTTATGAAGAGACCAGCAAGGGGCCACTTGGCTCCTCTGCCTTTGCTCTCAGTAGAAAACACATCAAACAGGTTCTTAGAGACCAGGGACAAGAAATACCAACAGCAAATGTTTTACTTGCCCTGACAGCTCCTCCTTTTTCCACACTGTGCCCCATCCCTCACATTCCCTCACATTTTCTTGATCAGTGCAAAGTTCTCCGGGTCGGTCATGAAACAGGATCACTCTTGTTTTCTGGAAAACTGGACTTCCGGATGTTGACATATGGGCCTGTAAGAGCCGAGGAAAACTGGTTTCACGCGAAACTCTAGCATGACTGAGAATGTAAAGTTGTAGGGTTGTTCTAGGACCGGGGGTGGGGCATGTCTTAGGATAGGGGATATTCTGGGTGTTGTTTTATCTATTAGGCCTGTTCAAGTACTAGCATCAAATAAGAAATAAAAGCGTAGAAAGAAAAGGTGATGCAGTGGCAAATAAGCAGTGCATCCATCGCGCTAGGAAGCCTGGTGGGTGCCCCTCCTGCTTGCCCAGCACATGAAATTCACTCAGGATCAGCCTAATCTAGGAGAGTTAAACAAGTGACAATTATTCAAAACTTTGGAGGTGGTCCTATCCAAAATAAGTTAACACAATGTCCAAGACTTGTTTCTAGATGACCCAGAGAGGGTGGAGATGAAAGACGGGTGGCGTATTAATAATTATTGTAGGTATCAGGGCTCACATGATAACACCATAGATTGTGCTTTTGTATGTGGGTGTTTGAGGTTTCCACAGTTAAATTTTTTAAAAATAACTCTTAAGTAGATGGTGACGTGAAGATGTGATAAGAGAAGCAGGTGGTATTGACTGACAGCCTGTGGCCCAGTGGGAATTAACCTTTATCTTAATGTCATTAAATCTCAGATCCAAAAGGAAAGTCCTTGGTCGTAAGGATTCAGATGATGATCACGCCCGAAACCATTCTCCCTCCCCCCCAGTGACACCCACCGGCACTGCCCCCAGCCTAGCCTCTCCAAAGCAAGTGGGATCAATTCAGAGAAGTGTCCGAAAGAGCAGCACCAGCAGTGACAACTTCAAAGCTCTTCTGTTAAAAAAGGGGAGTCGTTCAGATACCAGTGCCCGCATGTCTGCGGCAGAGATGCTCAAGAACACAGACCCTCGATTCCAGAGATCAAGGTCAGAGCCTTCACCAGACACCCCCGAAAGCCCATCAAGCTGCTCACCCAGCAAGAACAGAAGAGCCCAGGAGGAGTGGGCCAAGAATGAAGGCTTGATGCCTCGAAGTCTGTCCTTTTCAGGCCCCAGGTACGGCCGCAGTCGCACGCCTCCTTCAGCTTCCAGTAGCAGGTACAGCATGCGGAACCGGATCCAGAGCAGCCCCATGACTGTCATCTCAGAGGGAGAAGGGGAAGCCGTGGAGCCTGTGGATAGCAGAGCCCACTGGGATCTGGGTATTGCAAAGGGGTGCTCACTGGACGGCCTGGTGGGGGATGAAATGGACGAGGGCAGCCTGTTTTGTGGCGAGGAGCCCATCGCCTCCCTGCAGCCAGAGGCTCCTGACTCTGCAAAGGGCAGGGGCCCATCAGAGCAGTGTGGGGGTTCTCTGAGGGAGGAGAGTTAGGGACAGGAATGTGACTCTCCCAGGTGACGCAGTGGCAAATAAGCAGTGCATCCATCGCGCTAGGAAGCCTGGTGGGTGCCCCTCCTGCTTGCCCAGGGATCCCACTCAGCGTTTGTGCCATGGGCCCCACATGGCCAACCTGCAGCTAAGGTGAGGGTTGCTTAGGACTCACTTGCCACTTGCCCTATGGCTTAAAAGCAAGTAGAAGCTTAAACTTCTGAAAGTGCTTCCTGGGGAAGATTTCCTTTTTTTGCTAAATGCTGAGGGTGTGTGTGTAGAGGGGAGGTGTGTGTGTGCATTTTGAACAATTTATTTTTTAAAAGTGCACACAAACAGCATGTACAGAAATAGGAGAAAGAAAGAGGTTAGCGAGGTAGAGTAATGGAGTCTTCTGGACTAGGTGGTAATGCTTTCAAAGCATTATGTTTATGGAAATTAGTTCTATAAGAAGAAAGAGGACCATGACTTCTAAGAAAGGGGTGGTAGATTTGCTGCTGCTTCATGCACAGAACACATGGATGTATGCACATGTGCGCTGCTGAGCTGAGTGAAGCGTGTCAGGGTGCACACACAAGCTGGAGAAGGGCTCAGTGACTAATTGGTTCAGGTACTTTTTTTCTGGGGGAAATAGGCTTTCTTTCTTTTCTGTAAAAATGTCAAACATGGGAAAGTGGCGATGCTGTAACTTGGTGCGTGCTGCTGTGCAGCTGTATACACACAACTTTTAGCCTGAGTTTTAGAAGTGTAGGTGATTTTTAAACAAATTTCCTCCTTGAGTAGCAGCCAGGACCTTTTAGAACCGAAGTGATGGTGTAGACACACAGGGGGAGAGAGACGAGCGAAGGGGAGAGGAGTGAGTGATACACTGCTGGACTTTGTTTTCTGCCTATTAAATAAAATTATTTTTCAGAATTAAATTTGAAAACTTGCACTACAGAACTGTGGGTAGAGCTTTTCCTTTTACAACAATTTTTACCAGAGTTTAAACTTCCATTTGGCAATTTCTTTTCACTTGAAATGTCAACATTTGCTGACTTTTGGATATCTTTTTGGTTACACCAAAGAAAAAGTGATGGCTGTTGTTTTCCTTGAACTGCCTATGGTATCATGTCCTAATTTAGACAGGTTTATCAAAATTTATTTTATATTACCTTACTTTGAAGAAAATGCTGAAGAGCTCTTGTTAGTCAAATAAACTGATAAAAATTGGTAGGGCTTGGGTATTAATTAGCCCAGGGAAATGAGTTTTTAGATTAAAAAGACTTTTTTTGCATCATTTTGTTTGTGCGTTTTTATATTTGTTTATAAATGAGTCGCTAATTACCTTCTAATCTCCTCCAATCAGAATTTCAACACTTTTAGACATAGGAGAAAAGTGTGTAAAGTACTTATTTTAATGTAATATTCTTGTGACCCCCACCCTTGCTCCTTCCCAACTTTTGTGTACTTAGACTCCTTGATTAGTTAGTTAAGTAAACCAGTCTTGTCTTCTTCAGTAGCAGGTCCTAGGATGACAGTACTGAGATTCTTGGTCTAAATCCAGTGCAGCTGCCATCTTTTTTGGTATGAAAATATCATCTAAAAGTTGAACTACTCAGGTGAAAACATCATAAGACTTATAAAATAAAAGTTTAGGTACCCATTTTAGACATGTCTTCAAGGCAGAAATAAACCTAATGAACTAAGACTTCTTCCCTTCTCTGAAGAAAACAAAACATTTCTTTTCACACAACCAGAAACCAAGACCTGACATTGGGCCAGAGGCAAAAGGGCTTTTTATCATTTGGAACAGTTGTCTACTACATTGGACATATGGATCATTTCTTCTAAGTTTTAGAAAAGTGATATTGACTTTTGAATATGGAATCTTCTCATAGCTACCTAAAAAAGGTTAGAATGTACGTGGATATCAGAAGTCTTGAACTTAATATATAAATCATTTATTTGAAGGTAAGACAAGCAACATCAAAACTAATTATAAAACTATAAATAATTCCCAGTTTTAAAGAAACATATATATTAGGTTTTAAATTTGCTTTGAATAAAACAATCGTAAAGTGTAAATATTTGAAACATTTCTTTTTGTGTGTACATGCATCTTTTGAATAACGACATAGGTCTTTGTCAGAAGTGTTGAGTGCTTTGCTGGGCACAGACAACAGCAGTGAAGAGCAGAAGGTGCCTGTGGGAGGTGGGGCCCAGCAGGGAGGAGACAGAACATCACGGGCACCGGGTGGTGCCATCTAAAAGGGCATATGGAAAAACAACTCCAAATAATGTCATATGGGCCTTTGAATAAAACACAAATAATATATTGACTGGTAGTTCAGAGGATGTGACATGGAGGGACATGAGGACTCAGGCATGGATGAAACCCAGGGAAACTAGAATGTAGGCTCTCCCTGAACCATACGGTGTCTTCAGCTGTGCCACGATCCCCCTGTGGGGGCTCACTTCTGAGAGTGGACGTACTGTTGAAAAGCTCCATGAGGGTACACTTGACCTTCCTCATACCCTGAAACTTTACATGCCAGATAATCATAGACAGAAGCCCCAGGGCTAAGTTATTTCCAGTTTATTTTTTCTAAGAGTTGGGAGAGAAACAAATGACCATTTGATCTGTCAGTTGGAAACAGCCTCAACTTCAGTCTGATTTCACCCTCCTACTGTTTCTGAAGAATCTTGATTGAATTCTGTCGCTTCTCGTATGCAGATGAGAGTATTTTCATTTGGGGAGCCACAATGACAAGGAAAGAAAAGAAGGCATATCCGGGTCTTGATCCTCTTCCCCAGCCACAGGTGGTCCACCTGCCATGTGGGGGCGTCTGCCTCACTGCCACTTCAGCCTACGTGCGAATAACTGTTTATATTCCGAGATTCCATCATGAAATGAGCACAATGGGATAACTTACTTCAGCAGATATTAGGATATCTGGGGAAAACAAGGGTCTTTTGAATAAAACATTGACCTGATTCTTGAGGTCTGTTTTCCCATAATCAACTGCTCAGTTACTATAATATAGTTTCTTGCAGTGAGCCACTCTAAACTACATTTCACACAGGCCAGCCTTTATTCCCAGAACAAGGACTAGAACAATCTGTAGTCATCTGTTCAGCAGTGAGGAAAAGTCCTTTATTAAATACCTCTCATGTACTAGGTAGGAGTAGGGGGTTCCTAAGAGAGAAAAATGTGGATGAGCTATAATGAAGGGAAAGCCACACAGTTAACTATCCTGCTAAACATATGTCACCACCAAGAGTAGACGTAAAGGAGGAGCAGTCTGGGGCCGGCCCGGTGGCGCACTGCTGCAGTGCGCCGCTTGGGAAGCGCGGCGGCGCTCTCGCCGAGGGTTCAGATCCCACATACAGACCGGTTCCTGCTCACTGGCTGAGCGAGGCGCGGGAGCAGCACCGAGGGTTGCAATCCCGTTGCCGGTCCCGGTCCGGTACGGGGGCGACACTGAGGGTTGCAATCCGTTGCCAGACACGGAAAAAGACAAAAACAAACAAAGAAAAAAAAAAAAGGAGGAGCAGTCTGGGCTCCGGCAAACCCTGCTGTCACCTCACCTGATATCCATCACCAATGGGACACCTGAAATTGTTCAGGCTAGTGATGTACCCAACCAAAACACTGAACCTCATGGCCTCCCCCATGACATGGTCAGAAGGGCCATGTAGCATAGTTTTGCCAATGAGACATAGGCAATTGTCTGGGAATTTGCAGAAACCTTGCTGTCCTTACATAGGTGCCATCCCCTCTTGTGGCATCCTCCAGTTTCTCCCTACAATGAACGGGAGGCTGCAGGAGGAACTATATAATTTTGCAACTTTTGAAGCACCAGTGAGGATGGAAGCCATGGATTATGGGTGGCAGAGGAGAAAGGAGCCTGATCTGTTGAGTATCTACAGTCACTGCACTGGCCATGGGCTGTCTTCCTCCAGACCCATTGGGTAAGTCATTTTTCACTTGCTATGCAATTGAGTGACATGGTTCTCAGAGGAAGAAACCACTGCTCCTGAGCAGGTGGATGGGGAGGGTTTGGGTGTGGTGAGCCTGAGCTGAGCCTTTACAAATGAGGACAATTTCACTTTCGGAAGAAAAACATTCCAGATGGAGGGGATGGCAGGAGCAAAGGCACAGAGGCAAAGTGTTTAGAGAAAGCCACGTAACTAAAATAGGAAGTCTCTAGAAAAACAGTGGGACACAAGGCAGGAAATGCTGTGGGGGGCAAGAATGTAGAGGGTCTGGGAGGGCCTAAGGAATTTGGGTTTTGCTTCATAATATGGGGAAATGAAGGTTTTTGAGAAGGAGTGTTAGTCCGTTTTTTTTGTTGCTGTAACAAAATATCTGAAACTGGGTAATTTATAAAGAAAAGAGATTTATTTGGCTCACGATTCTGGGACAGCTGCATCTGGTATGAGCCTCAGGCTGCTTCTACTCATGGTGGAAAGCAGCAGGCAGCTGGCAGGTGCTAGATCACATGGCAAGAGGGAGCCAGAGAGAGGGAGGGAAGGTGCCAGAGTCCTTTAAACAACCAGCTCTTGTGGGAACTAATAGAGTGAGAACTCACTATCCTCCTCTCCTAGAGCATTAATCTATTAATGAGGGATCTGCTCCCCCATGACTCAAACAGCTCCCAACACTGCCACATTGGGGATCAGATTTCAGCATGGGCTTTTGGGAGACAGCACCTCCAAACTATCAGAAGGGGAATGATGTGATGGGACTGGGCTCTTAGCCCTTTTCTGGAGCTATACTGCCACTTGGTGATCTCATCTAATCCCATAGTGCTGGATAAATATATACTGGTAACTCCCAAATATCTCTCGTCCTGACTTCCTTCATGAGCTCCAGATTAGTATGCCAACTGGGAATTTAAAACCTGCATTTGGAGGTGTTTCAAACTTAGTATTTCCATACTCTATTTTAACCCACATACTTTCCCTTACCAATGGCATTACCAATTACAAAATAGCTCAGGCCCCAAATCTAGGGCTATCCTTGTGGCCTGTATCCTTTTCTCCTCTACACCATAAGCAAGTTGTGTCACCATACTGCCAAGATACATTACAAATGCAATCACTTCTCACCAGTTCTACTTCCACCTCTCAGGTCCAAACCATTATCTCCTGACCAGACAACTGCAAGCCTCTCAACTGGCCGCCTTACACATCTTCAACCACTCTCAACTCTGCATACAAAATAAGCTTTTAAAACTAATTCCTAGCACTCCCCTGCTCAAAACCCTCCAAGGACTGGACATTACAACTAGAATAGAATTCTAACTCCTTGCAGCAGCCTGCACAACCTTTAAGATCTGCCACTGGTCCCCTCATTCATGAAGATTTGGCCTCATTTCCCTCTTTCTGTCCTACTTGTTGCTTCAGAGTCTTTATTTTATCTACAGTAGGTCCCTGACTTATGGTTCAACCTAACCATTTTTCGACTTTACGATGGTGCAAAAGCAATACGCATTCAATAGAAACTGTACCCAAGTACCCATACAACTGTTCTGTTTTTCAGTACAGTAGTCAATAAGTTATGTGAGATATTCCACACTTTATTATAAAACAGGCTTTGTGTTAGATGATTTTGCCCAACTGTAGACTAATATAAGTGTTCTGAGCACATTTAAAGTAGGCTAGGCCAAGCTATGAAGTTCAGTAGGTTAGGTGTTTTAAATGCATTTTTGACTTAGGATATTTTCAACTTACCACAGGTTTCTCAGGATATAATCCCATCATAAGTTGAGGAGCATCTGTATTGAATATAAAAGTTCCTATATTCCTCTGCCAGTTTGGGTTCTTCAGGAAGTAGACACTGAGAGTTAGGAACACCAAAGGTTTTACTGAAGTATAACACCTTTGAAAGGAAAAAAGGAAACAGGGCTCTGGCAGGGGAGGATCAGATTCTGCTGTCAGACTCCAGTATGATCTTACAAGTCTGCCAGTCCAGTGGGTAACTCGGGAGAAGATCACTCATTGGAGGAGTCCTTTGTTGGATGAAACAGCTAGGTCCTTGTACCACTGCCTTGCCTGGACTTTGGCAAGAGGCTACCCTGAGAAAAATGTGCCCTCGGTTCCCATAGTTTAGTTCAATCATTGGCCACAAATCCCTCCTGCCTTGAGAATAGTGGGACCTCAGCCAGAAAGCTAACGTAGACCCTAATGAAGCTGACAGATGGCAGCTGTCAGCTACCGACACTCCTTGCCATTGGACAGCAAATCTTTTCTTGAAGGGGGATCTAAGGGGCACATCTCCATGCCTGCCAAAATCCTCTGTTTGTCCCATGTGAATCCACTTCCCCACACTCATGTGGAGAGCAACCCTCCAGGGCTCTGATGGGCCTCTTCCTGAGGAGAAGGTTTAAAGGAGGAGTTTGATGGGACCCACTCTAGCAATTTCCTGCAATTGGTCTCGGGGCCACAACTGGTACTCATTGTTCCCTCCTGCACCCTAAATTCCCCTCACCCTCAGCTGTCAGCCCTGCTAGTCTCAGTAGCTTTCCTGATGGTGTAAACCAAGCTCTCCTTCCTGTGGGTCTTCACATCCTGGAAGCCAAACCCTTCTCAGACCAGGGTTGCTGTACTTGATGAGCTGTACTTTCAATGAGGCGCTCTAAACTACCTTCAACACAGACCAGCCTTTATCCCCAGATCATCTACTCAGGTGCGTGCCCACTGGGGAAAGAGGAATACCTGGGTATGTCAGTGTCCAAATTAACATTTGATACCCAGAATCCCAAAGTGTCATTATATTTCCTTCTCCCCCATTAAATGGGAGCATATGGAGGTTAGAAAATAAATGTAGTTCTAATCAAAATTTGGCTTATAGCAGGTCCCCTGAGTCTGCAGACCCACCATTGGTTATTTCCCTAATCCCTACAGGTATAATTGAGATTGACATATTTGGCAGGTAGATTAACCACATCAGTTCCTTGACCTTTGGGAAAGAGTGTAAGCCTCTAAAACCCCTCTCCCCTAACCAGAGTCGTAAATCAAAATCAGTATTGCCTTGAACAATGTTTTTTAAACTTCTTCAGTGAAAATCTGCTTCTGGCCAT